CACTCCCCTCTCCCCCCCCCCCCGCTCTCTTTATCACTATAGTATCTGATACTTTCCAGTCTGCTTCTCTGTTCAGCCATAGAAGCTAGATATAACTACAATGTAGTAGGCAGTGCTCAGTGATGCCTGAACCTCCCTTTCAACCACTGCACTCAGAACTGGGGCCAACACCACCCCTCCCCAACCCTCCTCTGCTCTGAGCGTCCCTTACCTAGACCCTTTGTCTGGAAGGGCACCCAGTCAGCATAGGGAGAGGGCCCCAAGGCATTGGCACAGCGCACCCTGAGGCTGTAGTTGGTGGCAGGCGCCAGGTCCCGGAGCAGGCAAGTGAAGGGTGGCACAGGGACCACAACAGCCAGGACCTCCCAGCCTCCAGGGGCCTGTGTCACCTATAGAAAATCAGAAAAGTAATGATATAGGGGAAGGAGGCTCCTAGGAGTTGTGAGAAGAGACGGAAGAAAGGTTAGGTATGGGCCTGGGGGCTTGAATTAATGCTTCTTCTAAATCTATGAGCAAATACTTGCAACCTATCCTCTCACCGGTCTGTTCCCCATGATGCACCAGGTTCAATACATCCATGCCTGAGCAATGCTGTTCCTTCTGCTTCCAAAAAAAACCTCCCTATTCATTCTTTAAGACTCAGCACATGTATCACTTTCTGGGTGAAAGCCTTTTTCAACTCCCCCCAAAACCCCTCTCACCCCATGAACTTGCGTAACTATTAGGGTACTTACTGCTTATTACAATTGTTTACACAACACCCCGAAGTCTCAGAGCTTCTCAAGATCAGAGAAACTGGGAGCCTTGGGGCACCACGAACCAGCCCCTCATCTTACTGTTGGTCCCAGGGTGAGTACAAATAGAAATCCATGTACTACTGGGCTGTCTGGAAAATCATGACACATTTTTGCATAGAAAAACACACATGATTTTCCCAATGACCTATTAGATGGCTAATGTTTTTTTAATTTTTTTTTGGAGAGATTTTTGCTATATAGTGCGTGCGCTCACCAGACAGACAGAGAGAGACATAGAGACAGAAAGTGAGAAATCACCCCCCCAGGGGGGATGGTCACGCTGCAATCCCTTCTCCTCCATTCTCCTCTCAGGATCTTGGGCACGCACGCACATGTGCCCGGCGTGAGTCTTAAGCCACTGGGTCTGGGACGCGAACCGCGGTCGACTACGTGGGAGCCCAGTGACATAGCCATTACGCTAACTGCTGGTTCCCGAGATGGCTAATTTTTTTTAGAGGTTTTTGCTATAGAGCGTGTGCGCTTGCCAGAAAGACAGAGACAGAGAGACAGAAAGTGAGAAGTCATCCCCCCAGGGAGGATGGCCATGCCGCAATCCCTTCTCCTCCATTCTCCTCTCAGGATCTTGGAGACACACACACACACACATATATATAGCTAAATAGTTAAACATTATAAATCAAATAACAAACTATTAAATAATTTCTCATAATATCTTGACTAATAAACCTTTAGAACCACCTGGAAAGTCAGGTTCACATTTATCATTCTCTACATCCTTGTAGTCCCTAGTTTGGATACAGTGGCCCTGTGAGAGTTGGCCCCTAGCCAAGGGTCTACACCATGAGGGGTTGCATGGGCATGGTGTGGACAAGGCTGCCTGCATACCCATGCTCAGGACCCGTCCCTCCCACAAATAGCTGCCCTTGAGCTTCGAGGCACACATATCACAACATGGAAAATGAACTAAAAAAGAGGCCCACGTAGTCCTGGAAGCAGACTTAAGCCTCTCAGGACGAGAGGTGCTGAATATCTGGTGTGGGAGTGAGAGGGCCCTGCCGCTCTGGAGAGGCATGTCCCCTGGGCCTTGCAGACTCTGGCTCAGGAGAAAAGGGTGAGGCCAAAGGAAGACCAGAACAGGGTCTTCCAAAGGAAAACAGGAAACCATGATGCTCTGGATAACCCCCCAGGCCAAAAAACCTCCGTCAGCCCCCAAGCAGTAACTCTTCCTCAGTGTGGGAGTTGGGGAGCCCAAAGCAGAGGCCCTTCCCGCTTGGGAGAACTGCCTAAGGCAGTTTCAAAAGGTGCTTATTAAACACCTTTTCAGGAAACAGAGGAAAAACTAAGTAAGTAGATGAAAATGAGTAAGCCTCTACAACCTCTTGTTTTTAGTACCACCTGACGCAGCACTTCTGCTCTCCAGGGTGGAAGACCCCTCCTGGTCCCCTTGTTCTCTGGTGAGAGCTGGGAGCGGAGGGACTAGGAGAGCAAGCATCAAATAAACCAGAGGTGTGCGTTTTCATCCACATAAGAAGAACTCTTTGAGGCACTCCAAATGTACTCTAGTGATCTGTTTTCCAGCCTGAAGGATGCATAGACTTGTGCCGATCTGTGGAGTCACTTAGTTGCCAAAGCACCCTATGATGAGAGATAGTGACCTGGGTTCTTCCTGGTAAGGCAACCAGAACAAACACGGCCAGCCAAGGGAGCCTGTTGGTCCCCTCTCAGCCTACCTGGACTGTACAGGATTGCAGCAGGGCGCGGCCGTCAGCACCTGGCACCCAGGCCACACTAGCATTGCTGCTGGAGAGCTTCGTCACTGTGACGTTGAAGGGGGCTGCAGGCAGTGCTGTGGATGGGGACTTAGAGTCAGTGTCCGATAAGGACAGGAGAGAAGGGAGCCAGAGGCATGGAGTCAAGCCTCGGGTACCTCCCTAGGGTCTGCAGCACCCTGACCTAATGATGGCTACCCAGTACTCTCAGGACCGTGGTGACTCCCTTGAGAGAGTGCCTAGGCTGCAGAGAAAATCAGGGGCTGTGTCTGACCAAGAAATAAGACAACATGTGGGGGTGGTACCTCCAGTTGAGATGGACGGCTAGCCCTGAGGCCACAGCAGAGCTCCTCCATGCACTGGCTCTCTATCCCCTCCCTCCCTCCTTCCCTCTGTCCGCCCTTCAGATATCTATTATCTGCTGGGCTACCTCCCCTGCTCCTTACCCTCCACAGGGAGTGGCAGAAACAAGGCTGGGCATGAGCCTTGACCATCTCCTGCTGGCTCCCTCTCCCCCTCCTTCCCAAAGACTCTGCTCCTTGAAGGGAAATCTGTTATGACATCAGGATTTTATTCTATTCTCATCTCAGCCATGGCAGGGTCTCAGATGCTCCCACTAGGAACAGAGCTATGCCCATTAACCCCTTGTCCCCAAGATCCCAGCAGGACCCGAGAGCTGGAACATCCACTGTTTGTGACTGCTGGACAGCGCGCTGAGAACGCCCCTGGCCTCACCTACCCCTCTTCCCGCCAGTCCTCCTACCTTGAAGGCGAACAGTGGCTGTGCGCGAAGAGGCCAGGCCTTTGAGGTTGTGAGCTTCGCAGGTAAACACGGTGCTCTGGGTAACCCCTGGGGCCAGAAAACCTCTGTCAGCCCCCAAGCAGAAACCCTTTCTCAGTGTGGAAGTTAGGGGACCCTCAAGGGAAAAAGGGGACACTAAGGGTCTGACTGAACACCCTAGAAGTCCCTCCCTCCAGCCCAAGAAAGGGGCTAGACAGAGGGGCATGGTGGAATGAACATTGGAATCCCATGAATCAAGATGGGGCTCCATTTTCTCATCCCTCAAATGGGAGAATTGTGAGAACCGGGTAATGCTTGTAAAGTAAATGGCGCCCACTGCGTACTCGAAATGTTACACCACCCCTCCCACTTCAGTCCACCTCCTAAGAGCACGAGCTACCTCCCTTTTCTGGTGACTCCTTCCAGCATACCAGAGCCTTCTCCTCCCTTAGTGCGTTAACATTGTTGCATTAGCAGATTCCTTGCCTTGCAATAGTTCTCAGCTCCTTGAGTGTGTCTTGTCTCCCCAATTACACTCAATTCTTTGGGGGCTGAAGGCTGGATTCTATTTTTTTTTTGTATTCCCTCCAACCCCTGCAGTGCCTAGCACAGTGTGGTGTGTGGAGTAGGAGTTCACTGACTGCTTATTATAAGGCTGGCTGCCTGAGAGCCCCAACCACGCACATCTGGAAGAAAGTGAACCCAACCTCCTCACTAATCTGCTTCAATCCAGCACCTCCTAAGCAAGGACCTGCCCTTGCTTCTGACACCTCTTCTGAAGATTTAAACTGGGGGGCCAGACAGCAGTCCAGCAGAAAAACGCAATGCTCTGTGAGGCTGACCCACATGGAAGGTTCAGAGCCCACCTCCAGAGATCTCCCTAAGGTATGCCAGGTACACACATGTTCGTGACCCGAGGTTGGCTAAAGCTGAGGGTGGGTCTTGGCATGAAGATCCTATGGTGGGTTCTGTCTCACCGTCTCTCTCACTCATGGAATAAATAAATAAATAAACTTTAAAAAAAAAAAAAAAGACTCAAATTACTGGGGTTCTTGACGGATCAGAGCCGTTTCTCTCCTGCAGATGAGACCAAACTTGGACCTCTATCGTTTTTGCCCAGTTCAAGCCTCAATCAGAAACAGTGTTTACAGATAAGGGAGCCCCGCGAGCATGTGAGCTGCGTGCGTGAGGCTCTTGGGGCTCAGGTGGATGAGTAGGTATGGCTGCTTTGGGTCTAACTATGCGGAGATATGGATAGATATGGTTGTTCAAGAAAACATCTAGAGATTTTTGGAAAGGGCCATTAGGAAAGGAGGCCCTGTATCTTGGTGCTGGGCTCCCCCTACTCTCCTCCCTCCCCCCATCCATTTCCTCCGCTGCAGCCTGAGAGTCTTGTCTTCTCGGTGTCTGCCAAACACTCCTCCCTAGCTCTGCGTGGGCTGGTTTCTGGCTCCTTCCCTTGGGAGGGGTGGGGGGGATGGGTGCCCCGGTCTCACACAATTCATCTCCCAGTGCCAGCTGTGCACGGCCTGGACCGCTGTGATAGAGGGCAGGAGGCCCCAGCAACCTCCTTAAGCACACACACAGCAGGATCACCGCTAATCAGCCCATCCAGCCCGCCTAGCACACCTGACTAATGAGCTTAGTAATGGTGCAGCTCACGTACCCAGGCCCCGGGGTTTGCTCTGGACACTCACAACAGCAAACTCTGGGATTAAGCAGATTCTGAACTCCGTCAGCCTCACCACCCTCAAAGACCCGGTTGATTCCCTCTCAAAGCCGCCTCCTAAGGCTGCTCACCTGTTACATTTAGAACAGAGGGAGAGGGAGCGGGTCCCCCAACCTTGGTGCCTCCTCTCCACCAGATGATGGTAACGGGTTCAGGGGGACCCACGGCCTCGCAAGACAGTTGGAAAGGGGCATTGGGTGGCACTGCCAGATCTTTTGGCTCCACAGTGAAAAATGGCACACCTGAGGAGAGAGGGGGAGTGGGGAGTGAGCTCTGCCATCTCTTAGTGTCCTACTGCACAAATCGCAGGTGTGCTTCTATTTCCAGTCCTCTGCAGAAGGTACCCAAAGTCAGCTGCAGAACAAGCATCTGGGCTGGGGGCATAGGGGTGCTTTTTTCCTTTTTTCGGTCTCCTAGGGGAAATCTTTGCTGCTGCCCCCTTAGGAACAGCGGATTCTGCTCACAGCCCCCACACTACCTTCCCGGACCTGCTGTGCAGCCCTTCTCAAAGCAGGGGAAGAGGCTGCGGGTGGGAGCCGGGGGCGGGGCCAAGAGGGTGGAGAAGTAGGTGGGAGCTTTCGCAGAGTTCTGCTGGCAGGCCCCAGCTCCCGTTCAGGGCCCTTTGTTACTTCCTTAGTCACTTTGTTTTCCTGGGTTGAACAGCTCTGAGCTCCTGCAGCTGCGGAGCCTTCCTCCCTTCCCCCCCATCCCTCCCCCTGCTGGCCTGGCCACTTGGCAGAACAGGGTCCAGCCCCAGATGGGTGCTGGAGGCCTGTTGCTCAGACAACTGAAGCAGACTGTGCCCTATAGATGTGGATTCCAGTTCCCCCTTGGTTCTCTGATACACAGACTCTAGCAAGTAGGTTCTTCCGATGTCTGAGTGGGACTGGAGGCTGGCACAACCAGGCCCCAGAATTCTCTTCTGCAGAGGTATGGTCACCAGCAGACACGCCTGCTCCAGGCCAAGACGCCCACAGGGCTCTGCATCCTCACCTTCTACCGTGAGCCACACCGGCTGGGATATCTCTGTTTCTCCCCCATCCTCCACCTGGCACCAATACCGGCCTGCATCAGAGCGCTCCACCGACTTCAGGCTGTGGAAACAGGACACCAGGCTTGCCTCCTAGGGTCAAGGGGTAGCTCCGCGGAGCAGACTTGGAGTTGAAGCTGCCCCAACTTCTGAAATGTTTCACAGGTTGCTGAATGATGCACAGGCTGTGAGCATCAGCACAGTCCCCAGCTCCTGTGCCCCATGGAAAGAGCACAGTTCACCCCCAGGCTGGCATCCCACACCGTCCCCCTCGGTCCTGCACCTGAGGAAGCCAATCCAGTGATGCTCGCTGACCGGAATGTACAGCTGGTCCACACTCTGAACCACAGCCCCATCCTTCACCCACTGAATCTCAGGCTCCTCCATGCCCTCCACGCTGCAGTTGAGCTTCACCGGCTGCCCCTGAGACACCGTCAGCTTCACCGGGGCTCCCATGAGCTTCAGCCCTAGGGGTGGGAAGAACTGTGTCAGCCTCCTAGAGAGGGACCTTGTCTCTGGAATCTCTCCCACTCTCTTCCAGAACCTAGCTTCTGTGTCAGAGGGCTTTCTCAGCCACTGCCAGGGAAGCAGAGGCAGAGCGGTGTGGGAAGGAAAGGTGGCCTGGACCTGGGCTCTGGGGCCAGGGGCAGGACAAGCTCTCTTGGCACCATTTCTGTCACTGCCAAGCTCCCCCCAGCTTGAGGACCTCTTCTCCACACCTCCCCGCTGGGCAATGTAAGTCCAAGCGCAACCACCAAAAGAAGGCAAAACAGCGGGCTGAGACAGCGGGGAGCCCTCTTCCCCTGGGGCAGGCCCTGCTCTGGGAATGACTGCTACACCCAACCAGTGCAACAGGCTGCCCGCTCTCCACCCAAGGTGTCAGCTCAGACCCTGAGCCACTGCCAGCACCCTACCCCCGACCCCATCAAATGAAGGAAGGCTGAGGAAGGGAAGGAGGGGGTGCTCCCCTGAAGTGGAGAACATATGGCTGCAAAACCACGTCAGATCAAACACATGGCAGCCTTCCTGGCAGGCCTGCTCTATTAATACCTGAATGTGTGCAGGGGCGGATAGGAAGGTGGGAGGCAGAGGGAGGGGTGGAGCCCTGAGCAGGGAGCCCAAGACCCCTGAACCACTGACACCTCAACAGGAGCTACCCTCTGGAACCCCACCCTCACACCACACCTCTTCTGGCATGTGTTGAAGCAGAAGGGCAGGTGAAATATCCGCATAGCTCAAGTCCAGCCCTGCATCTCCCTGCCCTTCACTGTGTGACTCTAGGTAAATTCCTGGGCTCTCTGAGATCAGAGGTACACCTTTCCCCCATAAATACTCGTCACCCTCTTTGCCTCCCCTTCCCTGAGAGGCCCATATGCTGTCTCAAGAGAAGGCGCCAGCCAGCTGGGTGGAGGCTGTCCTGATCTGTCTCTCCCCTACTCCCTTCTCCCTCAGGATCAGTCACAGGACCAGGAAGGCGCCTACACTCCACCGACACCCAGCAGTCCCAGAGGTGTGGAGTGTGTACTTGGGGAGCAAGGTGCTTCGGGGAGCACTCCCACGGCCAGCCAGCGTCTCGGCAGCGATGTGGAATACAAGGCTGAGCCCCACAAAGACCAGCAACCTGGCCCCAACCCATCCTCTCCAGGATGCCCGGTCTCAGGAAGCTCTGAGGGCGCTGGAACTAGTGTCTGCTGAGATGTTTTGGGGGGACTGGGTACCTCCACAGCCCCTGTACCTAAACAGTGTAAGGGTACCGCTTGGGTGCTCAGCCCCGGCCGCCTGTGCTTTCCGAATAGGATCTTCGTGTGCGGGGCGGGCAGATCGGGGTCCCCTGGACAGAGGGGAGGACAAACTAGGAACACCGAGGCGGGAAAGCCAGTCCCAGACACCACCCCTACACACACACACACGCTAGTCACACAGCATACACCCCACTTCCCTTCCATCCCCGCCAGAAAGTTGGGGGCGGGGGCCCGACCGGAGATCTGGACGCGGACACCCCGCGGCGCTCCTCCCCAGACCCCAGCCCCGG